TGTCGGTTGAAAGTGTAATTTGTGTGACTAAAAATTCGCGTTGCCATTCTACAGCAGTAAAGTCCATGTAGCGTGCTTTAACGTGCGTAATTGCACGTTTTCGGCATTACCCCAGCCAGCCATACTTTCATTTGCAGGCTCATCATGGGTGGAGAACCTACCCCGGCCACCCCGGCCGTGGCCGGGGTAACTTTCAGCCGACCCCGGCGCGGCCGGGGTAACTTTTTCCACTTTTGTAAATCCTAAAAGCTGTCTCCATACGAAAAAAAACTGCCATCTATATAAGTGTCTCTCATTATTCTTATCTACCTTGAAAAGTTCTTGAAAATTTACTTTATTTTCATTTTGGAGCTTCTATGTTTTTAAGTCTTTTCATCGCGGAGCCCGACATGTTTCATCAAACACAAGTAAATCATATTTAAGGGCCGTGTAACTAATATCAGTGAGATAGAAGGACGAGCTGCTGGGGCTCAAGGCTCCTCCAGCTTAACCCGCGCCAGGGTGGTGGCCTAATCGTAACACGTTGAGTCGAGAGGTGGGCTTTCACACTCCTTCTAACTTGGCTACTGGGCTACGAGGCGAGAAGCGGAACGACGCTTGAAAGAGCGACAAACGTGACCAGAGAAATCTGGTCATGTTTTAGGCAAGCTCAATTATAAAATCATCATAGATCATCAAAAGCCAAATTTCTCTGATTTTAGCGTTCTCCGACAACTTTTCTCACAGTTCATGAACATAACGGAGCTTAAACACTGCAAACAAAACATTCGATTACTCGTTTAAGGCTCGGTTGCGAATATTTCAGGTGCGAGCTCAAATCAATAAGAGGGTCAAAACGGTCAAATTTGACATTTTGTTTTGCGTGGGAAGGTTGCAAGTTCCACGGAATAAGCTTTGCAAAGGGCATGATGGCATTTTTAGCACGATCATCCAGCAAATTTGACCTGATGACCTGACCTAGCACTAGGTGACATGCATCCGAGATTTTAAGGCGTGTTGCAAAATTGTTGTTGCAATTACGAAATCTTCCGCACCTGCGTGCAGCAGTTTTCCCTAAAAACGTACGCAGACATCCATTATTCTATGCCACAGAATAGGGGTTTGTTGATAACCGTTGACAAATATTTGAGCATCATCGTCTTTCTGACTTTCGGTCGCCGGCCGGGGTAACTTTTTCAAACATTCTCCACCCGTGAGGCTCATAACTTTTCAACGTGCCGTATGAATTTCAAATAGGCAGCACACTTATGCAAAGACATGCTGAAGATTACTTGACCGAATTGGCCAGACAAACGGCAGCATAATGAGTAAGAAATGCAGCTTCAAAGGCGCATGTAGTACCAGGAACGCGTACCTTGAAAACGCTCTTGGCGCCCTCACAGCCGAAATATTCCGAATGACGACTCGTAACAAACATGCGATAATTGTAGTCACTTAAGCTTCAGAGCATCACTGACAGGTGGCATCCATGTCTTACGGTTTTCGAAATATCTCGAATTTCGGCTTTGCCCCAACTCCGGCATTGCCCCAACTTCCCCTATGACCGAACGCAAGCCTCTGCCCGGGCCTGAATTGACCTTAGCATTACGAGTGAATTAGAAGTACCTTTCATAATCGTTTGGCGTCAAAATACCTTAGTAATAAAAGTTGCGGCAGGTTCTGAAACACACATTGCCAGAATATCGTCAGCGAGAGTTCACGCATTTAAAAATTATCGCAAAAAAGTGGGGTCTCAAGTGGTTTGACGTCCATAGTAGTTACCTAGCCTGAGATGACTAAAATTTGAAATATTCAGGATTTGTGTCAAAATGATCCGACACAGGGTGTTAGCGAGCAAATACGTTGCTTTAGATGTTTTCGCAAAGACGGCCGGCGCTCGGAGCGCAGCGGTCGGTCCGCCGCGCTGCGCCGGGCACATATGCGTCATCTGGCCCCTGTCCTGCAGTTCTCAGGCCCACGTATTGTGCTACCACGAGGGCTGAGACGGGACGGGGGCCCGACAGTCTACAACGGGACTCCGCCGGTGCGACACGGCCCGGTGTCATACGACGTGGCCGACGCGGCCTTACGTGAACGACGTGGCCGACGCGGCCTTACGTGAACGACGTGCCGAGAACGACGAATTGCGCTGCATCTGTGACCGCCGTCTTTTACCCGTTCGTTTCGCTATCAACCAAGAATAGACTTTGACTTATATGAACAATAACTTTATGGTCCTCCGGGTGACGAAAGAGAACGAGTACGAGAACGAGTGGACGGTCACGACTACGAGCACACACAAACATTTCCGTATCGAAGAGTGAGCTTTACGATTCTCACGAACACAGGGTGTGCCAAGGTTGGCGGCACGTATGTAAAAAAAAAAAAACGCACTATTGAGAGGCGGCAGCCTGCGCCCTGCACCCAACCCCTGTTCCGGCTAGAAGGTAGAGTTGTCATCCCTCGCCTTCACTGGCGCTTCCTCGGCCGCTGTTGGCGAACAGGAGGGGGCTCAGCCCCCCTCCCCCCACCAGCTTTTCAGCTCCTGATCAAGTTAGAGCGAAAAAAGGAGCGTGAAGATAGGATCCGATGGTGTCCACTTCTTAGGGCCTAACTCACTGGTCCACCTTCCGAGTCAGTTCAATGACCTACAAGATGGGAAAATCGGGATCCGCTAAAAATAATTTTTGTGAGTTTACTAAGTTTTCAGGGTCAAGATTTTGAATGTCATATTAGCTTTTTTTACCAAAGATGATATATGTTTCGAGGGCATCGGACGAAATGCAGCATTTTATGAAATGTCTAAAGACCTATCATGCCTACCTATAGATAGGCATTGCGTGGGCTGCCTAGACATTTCATGAAGTGCCGGATTTCATCTGATGTTTGAGGTGCTTTGCTTGGCGCTGGCTCGGGACCAAACCTAATCAACACCACCTAATCAAACCTAACCAGACCTAACCTATCTACCTTCCACATAACACGTTTGGTCATATTTGTTGGTTTGATATGTTATATATGTGAAAGTAGGCTTTATGTTAGACATTTTGCTGGATTTCAGCCAATGCCTACGACATATTCATGCAATGCAGGTAAGTCGGGTCAGGTGAATAATTAGGGTAAGACGGGGAAACACCGACCTCCTCGACCTTTCAGGGTCTAATCACGTAATTGTTGGCCACATTCTCAGTTTCATTGGATTGTCGCATTAATTTTACAAACATATCAACCAATTGTTTTATTGTAGTTTAATTCCTAATTGCATTATTCCACATTTAGTAAATGTCTACATTTTTCGGTGTAAAACCACCCATTGGGTAACACCGCCCGAGCTCATCAGGCAACGAAATTTGTAGGTTGCTGAGGTGTTAAGTTTTTCTTCATATCGTAAATTTCGAGGCGTTTTAGTATGTTCATAAAACGCAGTGGGAACAATTTTATTAAATCCCTGGTACAATGTATTTATACAACTAGACGACTAAGTCCCATAATTTCATTTTCTCGAAATGTCTAATCAACTTTGAAAAAGAAAACATAACATTCTTTATTTGAAATGCGTCACTCCTGGGTCAGGTATCACAATGTGCTATTAGGTACCTAATTGCCCAAGTGGGCGGTGTTACCCAAGGTTCTGCATTTTTTCTAAAACAAAATCCTTTAATGTGGCAGCACGAAAAAATGGCGCTCGAGCAGAAGCACGAAATGTTTGGATGAGTTCTAATTATGGGAAAAAAAGATCTACTTTAGGACTATCGGTCTTTCAAACACAAAAAGACAACTTTTCTTCCGCTAATGATGCTAGAAAAAAAGCATAAAACGTATTCACGAAACGTAAAATTCGGAATTTCTCGCAAATCACCTAAAACAATGCGGTGCACTGCCCATACCTGGCACTTCTGTTGACATCACACTGCCAAAAGACGGTCAGCTGTCGCCCTAGACCTTTTCATATTTCTGATATCGGGATGGACGGTGTTCCCCAAAGGGCGGTGTTCCCCCCGTCTTCCCCTATGTGTCCCGCTGGTATCCATAGCAGTTGTTAACCACCAGTCGGCAGTCACCACTGATCTGACAGCTTCGTAACAAGTTATATAGACACCAAAAATTAGTAACTTCTCGAATGTTCAACGGGGTGTTAAGTTCGAAATCAGCTCTAAAAACTACCCTGAAAAATAGAAGAAAAAAAAACGAAAAACGAGCCAAGGTCATCCTCATCTAAGGTCATTGAACTTGAACTGACCTTCACTTGACCTGGATAGTGGATAGTGGATACCCACCATAATGCATGGACAGTTATCAATCGACATATTGGCATGCTTACAGATAATCACAAGAAGTTTGGAAACGCACGAATTATGGGCGCCGACATACAACCACATCGCGATTCGGGCCTGACACGGTCCCGAGAAACAGGTCACAGCCCACAGGTCAATCAAAGGTGACGTGGGTGAGGGTTATGTGGTATGTCTTTCAAATAAGCTATGTACAAAAATTGATTGACCCGAGGGTACCGAAAGTTTCATCACTATCAGCCGCTTTTTACGCGATTTCGGATTTATTTAAAAAAAGCAAAGAGGAGTTCCAGCCCTTCCCCCCCCCCCGCCCTCCCTATAACTGCGAGGGTTATGCACAGTGTCCCCGTCTCACACAGTAAAGAGCGAACGTCACAAATGAGTTAAAACAGAAACACGACTGCTGCCACCGCCGACGGCCGGACACGTCATGTGATGACGTCATCGCCACCGCCGACGGCGGGACACGTCATCTGCTGACGTCACCGCCACCGCTGACGGCCGGACACGTCATCTGATGACGTCACAGCGGCAGCGCGGCCTTGTCGCAGTCAGCCGGACCTCTCGGGAGCGCGGTGCAATGAGTCACGAATCAGGCGGTGGCGACGCGACGGTCACAGTACACGAGCACTGTGCGGCATACCTTAGCGGCTATCTCGGCTCGGGCGCAGCCGGGCGGTCTGCCACGCGGCGCGCTGCACAGAGACACAGAGTGACGATCAGTGGGTGCGGAGTGGAGTGAGGGCCGGGAGACCGATCGGAGAGGTGTGAGGGCCGGGAGACCGATCGGAGAGGTGTGAGGGCCGGGAGACCGATCGGAGAGGTGTGAGGGCCGGGAGACCGATCGGAGAGGTGTGAGGGCCGGGAGACCGATCGGAGAGGTGTGAGGGCCGGGAGACCGATCGGAGAGGTGTGGGGGCCGGGAGACCGATCGGAGAGGTGTGAGGGCCGGGAGACCGATCGGAGAGGTGTGAGGGCCGGGAGACCGATCGGAGAGGTGTGAGGGCCGGGAGACCGATCGGAGAGGTGTGAGGGCCGGGAGACCGATCGGAGAGGTGTGAGGGCCGGGAGACTGGCCACCGGCTGTCTGTGGGACCACCTGTGACCGGGCCACCGCCGCTGAGTGACCCGGAGAGCCACGTCACGTCCGACTCAGGTAGGGGAGCTTTGATGGTGACTATGAGACCTGAGGCATGCTCGGCCGCGCATCCTATTGCAAAACCTTACACCACGCATGCGCAGTTGGGGTCCCTCGGGTGCCAAGCTCCGCCCTTCGGCGTATGACGTCACATGTGTGACGTAGGCTCGTGAAAATCTTTCAGTTTCGCGCAACAAGAAAATAGAATTCAGGGGCGGATCAAGAAATTTTCGGGAGGGGGCCGAAGGTCGAAATATGGGCGACCTGGCAATCCGAGGGGCGCTTCATACGCCTTCGAAGGGCGATTATTTTAGCGATCAGACGAACCCTTGATGCCTTTTGACGCGCCCCGCGCCCCGCGCCCCACTAGGGTCTGTGTATAACGCACCCTACTGGGGGGGGGGCTCTTCATAGCCCCCCCCCTAACTCCGAAACTTCTTGGCCGATCGTCAAAGTTCAAACGGCGTCTGATAGCCCCGGAAAAACTGTCGTGCGAAACCTGATTTCATTGACCTCTAGGCCACTGATGACGTCACAGCTCAGGTCAAAGTAAAAATTATCGATGTTTGGATTGTTCATATTTTGGGCTCTGGCCGCCGTCTTTCAAGTCAGATCAAGCTCATTTTTGGTTTACACACTCGTGAACAGATGATATAGATACCCTGAGGGTACCAAACTTGTACTTTGATTTTCAGGTCAGGGTCAGGTCATCACAGGTCACGAAAATAGTATATCATTCGTCGGTCACGTGACACATGTTTTATGGTTTTATGGTCCATTTAGGCCATAGATTTTGAATTCCATGTCGCTTGTGTCATTTGAGGTCATTTTGAGTTGAATTTAGCTCAGGTCAGGCCATTTTCAGGTCAAAAAGGTCAAATTTTAACCCTCGCCCGCACATGCCATTTTCCCATCCTAGAACGCACATTGGGTTGCCACCCCCCCCCCCCCGCGGCGCTATTTCGTTCCTGTTGGAGATAGAGCTTCGCGGTAAAGACCAAAAAGATTCTTTGGGAAGAGCCGAGTCCAATGATACACAGTTTTACCTTCTCAGGTCAGTCATTCACCTTCCAGGTCAGGTCAAACTAAAAAATGTTGTTGTTTTGGGTCACCGTTGGATAGGTATCAAGTGCGCTGCTTAGCATATACCTACCGATGACGATGCCGTTTTCTGGTGCCAAGTCAGCTAGAACCTCTTTGTCACACTACCCGACCAGGTTTTTGCTGCTGAGGTCATTTCAGGTCAAGTTAGGTCAAGGTCAATTATAGGTATGTGTTTGTATGTCTGTGTGAGTCTGTGTGTATGTATACTGATGTGTGCACCGATTGTTTATGTGTCCATATTAGGTACATGAAATCATGATCTGAGAAGCTTTTACCAAAAGTACAGTCAAAAAAATCCACGAAAAGTAAATTCAGCTTGCCTAAAACGCAATTATTTCAGATGACCTAGGTTGACCTTGACCCTGACCTTTACATCTCTGTTCATCATCGAACAGCATGTTCCACATGATAGGTGGGAGGTAAGACTGGCAAAAAAGGCCGAAATCAAGGTGTCAAAAGCTCACAAGGCCCATAGCCAACGCAAGATGTTGAGAATTGGTCATTTGGGTCATGACATGACCTGAAAAACAAGGTCATATCTCCGAAACCAAAAACCACAGAAACTTGAAATTTTCAGTGGACATCAAAAAAGGATAGAGGGGCAGCTATACAAAAAACCAGGCTTCTAGCTTTAAAAATGTTGAGTGCAGAGCAGAAAAACCACCTGGGGGTGGCAACCTCCCCCCCCCCCCATGTGCGGGCGAGGGTAAAGTGGAAAATTTTCAACAAAAAAGATGTCTATCGGATGCAGTTTGAGCTCAGAAACACGATGGTGCTATTTACATTGGCGTACGATGTCAAATACGTGCTGAAAAATTGATTTGAAAAATTAATAATTGTGAATTTTTTGCAATAATGCGTATAACTTGGCCATTTTTGAAGATATTTAGCTTAAACTTGCTAGAGTTAGTCATAATAATGCGTTCTATCACATATATTCCGATTTTTCGAAAACACAAAAACTTTTTGGAAAAAATGTAAAAATATAAATTTTGAATTTTATTATATCAAATTTTCGAAATTTTCAAAATTTCGAAAATTCGAGACAGCAGTTTGATAGCGCAGTCTATTCTGAGTCCTCTCATGCAAAGAAATTGGATCTAGTTTAAAAACTGAGCTCTTGGGAGCGATTGCCGTGGTTCAATGTTTTGCGTCGAAATCGGCCGAACATGACGTCACTCTGACGTCATTTCCGGCCGACCTATGGTAGCTACGAAGCTCAAATTTTGACACAAGGTGTCGAATTGATGCAGCCGAAGGTACTGAAAGTTTGGCGTCGATACGTCAAGCAGTTTGGAAGTTATTGCAGAAAAACGGGAGGGGGCTATAAATAGCCTCCCCCCAGTGGGGCGCGGGTTAAGATGAAAAATGACTGAAATACTTTAACGTACGCTGATACTTTAAATACTTTAACGACTGAAACGTACGCATTGAGAGCTATCGACTGCTTTTTACCGCGTCTTTCTAGCCCTCTTAGTTTTTGAGTTAGAGGTGGGTGGTAACATATCCCAGTAAACATGCCGACGTCGGCCCGACGTCGGCCGACGTCGGGGTGACGTCGGCAACTCGGCATCGGCATGCCGACGTCGGCCCGACGTCGGTCCAACCTCGGCACGACGTCAGCTGGATGTCGGATATGCCCGCATGTACCGACGTCCAGCCGAGGTCCAGCCGACGTCGGGCCGACGTCGGACCGAGATCAATTGCTGAGGTCCAGCCGACGTCGGGCCGACGTCGGGGCGACGTCGGACCGACATCGGCCGCTGTTTTGACCGTTAAAATAATATAAAATACATGTTTCATGTTTCATAAAGAGCTTCTGTATTCAAAATATCCTCAGGAAACTGAAATCTTCCTCCACGCCGCAACCCCCTGATCCGGACTGGACGGGAAACTTTATCCCATTTGGGATTGCCCGTAAGCCGAGCTCGCCCGTATGCCGGGTGCGGTGAGTGCTTGGGGGCTGCTCCGCCTATCCTTTGGTCAGGCTCAGCCCCGGCAACTCACCAGGGCCGGGCCCAGTTCATACAGAAAGGCCAGTCGGCAAGTGTCACTTTGCCAAAGTTCCACTTATCAAAGAGACACTTTGGGAAACGTTGGTGCAGGTGTGTAAGAGTGGCTATATGAATCCATTGTGGGGTCGCCCTTTCCAATAAGTGTCACGTAACAGCAATGGGACCAGGGGGCAGGGACTCTATATGAACTGGACCCAGGGTGCTCGCCAAGAAGACAAATGTCTCCATCCTATCATCCTTCCGGCTCTGAAATGGTCTTGTCAGACCGAAAGGGCATAACCCAACAAAACAAACTATATTCGCTATTTGGCTGCGTGGTGTAGTGGTTAGCGCACTCATAGGCGGCGGAACGGGGAGGGCACCGGGGCACCGTGCCCCCCCCCTTTGATTTTGGCATTTTACCATTAGCCCTATGGGTGTTGCATGGAAAGAATGGGACCAAAAGTCGGCAGTGCCCCCCTTTAATTGAAGGTGTTCCGCCGCTACTGAGCGCACTAACCTCGCGTTCAAGTGACAGGGGGTTCGAATCCCATCGCCGGCTGATGGTTTTGGCGTGTTGTCCCAGCAAACATGTCGGCCGACGTCTGCGACTGGGGGGCTCGAATCCCGCCGCCGGTTGATATTTTTGGCGCGTTGTCCCAATAAACATTGCCGACTGATCTGACGTCGGCCCCGTCGGCCTCGTGTCGGAATAGCTAGCGACAAAAGAGCTAGTGTCAGTTGAGCTAGTACGTTTGAGCTAGTGCTACAAAAGAGCTAGTGATGTAAAAGCTAATGTTAAAATAGCTAGTAACTTAAAAGAGCTAATCCCAAGGAGAACTAGTGGTGCAAAGAACTTTGAAGATACCTATCTATTACAATTACTTTGAAGATATCTACATTGGGAGGCAGGGACGGAGGGGGCAAAGGAGAGCACAAAAATTTCGGAAAAGACATGTGGAATGTCATGGGATTCGCACCGACGAGGGAATGTCGAGGACCAACAACAAAATTGAAGGGTGGCACAGGGCAATCCAAGGAATGGTGGACTCGCCACACCCGTTACTTTGGCGTTGTCTGGCCGTGATTCAAAAAGAAGAAGCGCTGCAAGCTGCCGAACTTTGCAAATTCAAAGCAGGAAACGAAGTTCAAAAACAAGAGAAAAATTATGCCGATATAATTAAACGAATTAAGGTCCTCATTCGCCGTCTCACAGGAGACATCATAGACAGGCAGGAGTTTCTTCGCGGAGTTGGATACGACATTTCGATGAGCGTTTGAGAATAAAATCTTAGCTGTATGTTTCTGTCTTTTTCAATATTACGACCTTTTTTAGTGACCGATCTGATCTGAACTGAACTTTGTTTATAAAATCCCGAAGAGGTACAGCGTGAGCGCATATTTACGCGTGAGCATGATCTACTAGCCCTTTACAACACTAGTCATTTTGCTCCTAGCTGTTTTGTGGGACTAGGTACAATCGCACTAGCTATTTTGTGGCACTAGCCCAAATGAGCTAGTTCAAACAACACTAGCTCTTTTGTGGCTAGCTCATTCGTATGGGAATTGCCCCGTCGGTCCAACGACAAACGATCTCGTCAACCTAGGCAAACGACCTCGGCCCGACGTCGGCTCGACGTCGGCTGGACTTCGGCTGGACGTCGGAACATGCGGGCATATCCGACATCCAGCCGATGTCGGGCCGAGGTTGAGCCGACGTTGGGCCGACGTCGGCATGTTTACTGGGATGCCCCCCCCCCCCCCCCACTAGGGCGAAGTTGGCTGGGACCGCCACTGCACACAGCCGCTATTTGAGTTCGGAAGTGGCCAAAATGCGATAACTCATTAACCAGTTGACATTTTGCCAAGGAATTTTTTATTGTATGTGAAGTCAACCGTAAGGTCACATATGGGAACGTA